GTTGCAGTGAGCCAAGATCAGGCCACTGCACTCCAGCCTGGGTGCAAGAGCAAAACTCCATCTCCAGAAAGAAAAAAAAAAACAGGGTCTCTCTCTGTCGCCCAGGCTGGACTGCACTGGTGTGATCACAGTTCACTGCAGCCTTGACCTCCTGAGCTCAAGAGATACTCCCGCCTCAGCCTCCCAGGTAGCTGGAACCACAGGAACATGCCACGATGCCCAGCTTGGAACTATCCCTATAACATCACAGCCATGGTGTAGGCACTGCTCTTGTGTGAGCTGTTGCTACTTTGTCATACCAACAACTGTCATTGTATGAGGTCATGTGTCAATCTGTGTGTCACTGCTTAAGAAATGTGCCCTTGTATTGTCTTCCTTAGTCACAGCTCTCAATGCATCCTGCTCAATGCATGGTATTTCACTCTCATAGTATCTTCACTGTCTCTTATTTCACAATCTCATGGTATTTTCACTGTCTCTTTATTTCACTGTCTCTGTAGTATTTTCACCATCTCTTATTTCACTGTCTCTATAGTATTTTCACTGTCTCTTATTTCACTGTCTCTGTTGTATTTTCACCATCTCTTATTTCACTGTCTCTGTAGTATTTTCACCGTCTCTTATTTCACTGTCTCTGTAGTATTTTCACCATCTCTTATTTCACTGTCTCTGTAGTATTTTCACTGTCTCTTATTTCACTGTCTCTGTAGTATTTTCACTGTCTCTTTATTTCACTGTCTCTGTAGTATTTTCACCATCTCTTATTTCACTGTCTCTGTAGTATTTTCACCGTCTCTTATTTCACTGTCTCCGTAGTATTTTCACTGTCTCTTATTTTGCTGTCTCTGTAGTATTTTCACTGTCTCTTATTTCGCTGTCTCCGTAGTATTTTCACTATCTCTTATTTCGCTGTCTCTGTAGTATTTTCACTGTCTCTTATTTCACTGTCTCTATAGTATTTTCACTGTCTCTTATTTCGCTGTCTCCGTAGTATTTTCACTGTCTCTTATTTCGCTGTCTCTGTAGTATTTTCACTGTCTCTTATTTCACTGTCTCCGTAGTATTTTCACTGTCTCTCATTTCACGGTCTCTGTAGTATTTTCACTGTCTCTTATTTCACTGTCTCTGTGGTATTTTCACTGTCTGTTAATTTACTGTATCTGTGGTATTTTCACTGTCTCTTATTTCACTGTCTCTGTGGTATTTTCACTGTCTCCGTAGAATTTTCACTGTCTCTTATTTTACTGTCTCTGTAGTATTTTCACTGTCTCTTATTTCACTGTCTCTGTAGTATTTTCACTGTCTCTTATTTCACTGTCTCTGTGGTATTTTCACTGTCTCTTATTTCACTGTCTCCGTAGAATTTTCACTGTCTCTTATTTCACTGTCTCTGTAGTATTTTCACTGTCTCTTATTTCGCTGTCTCTGTAGTATTTTCACCATCTCTTATTTCACTGTCTCTGTAGTATTTTCACTGTCTCTTATTTCACTGTCTCCGTAGTATTTTCACTATCTCTTATTTCGCTGTCTCTGTAGTATTTGCACTGTCTCTTATTTCGCTGTCTCTGTAGTATTTTCACTGTCTCTTATTTCACTGTCTCTGTAGTATTTTCACTGTCTCTTATTTTGCTGTCTCTGTAGTATTTTCACCATCTCTTATTTCACTGTCTCTGTAGTATTTTCACTGTCTCTTATTTCACTGTCTCCGTAGTATTTTCACTATCTCTTATTTCGCTGTCTCTGTAGTATTTTCACTGTCTCTTATTTCGCTATCTCTGTAGTATTTTCACTGTCTCTTATTTCACTGTCTCTGTAGTATTTTCACTGTCTCTTATTTCACTGTCTCTGTGGTATTTTCACTGTCTCTTATTTCACTGTCTCCGTAGAATTTTCACTGTCTCTTATTTTACTGTCTCTGTAGTATTTTCACTGTCTCTTATTTCACTGTCTCTATAGTATTTTACTGTCTCTTATTTCACTGTCTCTATAGTATTTTCACTGTCTCTTATTTCACTGTCTCTGTAGTATTTTCACTGTCTCTTATTTCACTGTCTCTATAGTATTTTCACTGTCTCTTATTTCACTGTCTCTGTAGTATTTTCACCGTCTCTTATTTTACTGTCTCTGTAGTATTTTCACTGTCTCTTAATTTACTGTCTCTGTAGTATTTTCACTGTCTCTTATTTCACGGTCTCTGTAGTATTTTCACTGTCTCTTATTTCACTGTCTCTGTAGTATTTTCACTGTCTCTGTAGTATTTTCACTGTCTCTTATTTCACTGTCTCTGTAGTATTTTCACCGTCTCTTATTTCACTACCTCTATAGTATTTTCACTGTCTCTTATTTTACTGTCTCTTATTTTACTGTCTCTTATTTCACTGTCTCTGTAGTATTTTCACTGTCTCTTATTTCACTGTCTCTGTAGTATTTTCACTGTCTCTTATTTCACTGTCTCTGTAGTATTTTCATTGTCTCTTATTTCACTGTCTCTGTAGTATTTTCACTGTCTCTTATTTCACTGTCTATAGTATTTTCATTGTCTCTTATTTCACTGTCTGTGTAGTATTTTCACTGTCTCTTATTTCACTGTCTCTGTAGTATTTTCACTGTCTCTTATTTCACTGTCTCTGTAGTATTTTCACTGTCTCTTATTTCACTGTCTCTGTAGTATTTTCACTGTCTCTTATTTCACTGTCTCTGTAGTATTTTCACTGTCTCTTATTTCACTGTCTCTGTAGTATTTTCACTGTCTCTTATTTCACTGTCTCTGTAGTATTTTCACTGTCTCTTATTTTACTGTCTCTGTAGTATTTTCACTGTCTCTTATTTCACTGTCTCTTATTTCACTGTCTCTGTAGTATTTTCACTGTCTCTTATTTCACTGTCTCTATAGTATTTTCACTGTCTCTTATTTCACTGTCTCTGTAGTATTTTCACCGTCTCTTATTTTACTGTCTCTGTAGTATTTTCACTATCTCTTATTTCACTGTCTCTGTAGTATTTTCACTGTCTCTTATTTCACTGTCTCTGTAGTATTTTCACTGTCTCTTATTTCACTGTCTCTGTAGTATTTTCACCGTCTCTTATTTTACTGTCTCTGTAGTATTTTCACTATCTCTTATTTCACTGTCTCTGTAGTATTTTCACTGTCTCTTATTTCACTGTCTCTTATTTCACTGTCTCTGTAGTATTTTCACTGTCTCTTATTTCACTGTCTCTATAGTATTTTCACTGTCTCTTATTTCGCTGTCTCTGTAGTATTTTCACCGTCTCTTATTTTACTGTCTCTGTAGTATTTTCACTATCTCTTATTTCACTGTCTCTGTAGTATTTTCACTGTCTCTTATTTCACTGTCTCTGTAGTATTTTCACTGTCTCTTATTTCACGGTCTCTGTAGTATTTTCACTGTCTCTTATTTCACTGTCTCTTATTTCACTGTCTCTGTAGTATTTTCACTGTCTCTTATTTCACTGTCTCTGTAGTATTTTCACTGTCTCTTTCACTGTCTCTGTAGTATTTTCACTGTCTCTTATTTCACTGTCTCTGTAGTATTTTCACCATCTCTTATTTCACTACCTCTATAGTATTTTCACTGTCTCTTAATTTACTGTCTCTGTAGTATTTTCACTGTCTCTTATTTCACGGTCTCTGTAGTATTTTCACTGTCTCTTATTTCACTGTCTCTGTAGTATTTTCACTGTCTCTTATTTCACTGTCTCTGTAGTATTTTCACCATCTCTTATTTCACTACCTCTATAGTATTTTCACTGTCTCTTAATTTACTGTCTCTGTAGTATTTTCACTGTCTCTTATTTCACTGTCTCTGTAGTATTTTCACTGTCTCTTATTTCACTGTCTCTGTAGTATTTTCACTGTCTCTTATTTCACGGTCTCTGTAGTATTTTCACTGTCTCTTATTTCACTGTCTCTGTAGTATTTTCACTGTCTCTTATTTCACTGTCTCTGTAGTATTTTCACTGTCTCTTATTTCACTGTCTCTGTAGTATTTTCACTGTCTCTTATTTCACTGTCTCTGTAGTATTTTCACTGTCTCTGTAGTATTTTCACTGTCTCTTATTTCACTGTCTCTGTAGTATTTTCACTGTCTTTTATTTCACTGTCTCTGTAGTATTTTCACTGTCTCTTTCACTGTCTCTATAGTATTTTCACTGTCTCTTATTTCACTGTCTCTGTAGTATTTTCACTATCTTTTATTTCACTGTCTATGTAGTATTTTCACTGTCTCTTATTTCACTGTCTCTGTAGTATTTTCACTGTCTCTTATTTTACTGTCTCTTATTACCCTGTCTCTATAGTATTTTCACTGTGTCTTATTTCACTTTGTCTTATTTCACTGTCTCTATAGTATTTTCACTGTCTGTTATTTCACTATCTGTGTAGTATTTTCACTGTCTCTTATTTCACTGTCTCTTAGTATTTTCACTATGGGCGAAAGTGGAGGGGTAACAAGGGGTTTGTGGGAGGGGAGGGGGAAAAAGTGGAAAGGGGAGGAGGAGGGGAAGTGAAGGAGAGGGGGAGGGAGAGCAGGGGGAGGGGAAGGGTGGGATGGGAGAGCAGGAATCCCCCCAGTTTCACACAGGAGGTGGCGGGAGGAGAGGGGAGGAAAGGGGAGGGGAAAAGGGGAGGGGTGTACGGAGAAGGGGAGGGAAGGATGGAGAGGGGGAGGGGAGGACGGAGAAGGGGAGGGGAGGACGGAGAAGGGGAGGCAGGAGGAAGGAGTGAGGGAGGGAAGGAAGGAAAAGAAAAGAAAAAGAGAAAAGCAGGAAAGAAAGAGAAAGAATAGAAAAAACCTAGCCCCAAGTATCACACAGGAGGTAGAGGCCAGGGATGAGTCTTCAAATTTTTCACATGTTAACGTAAGTCAGATTTTCTTTTGGTCTATTTCTGAATGTGTCTGTAGCCCTCCAGCCCTGGCACAATGCTGGCACACTTCAGATGCTCAATAAACACAAATAAGAAAGTAAGTATAATGAATTTATAGAAAGTATGAATCCCAGTTGCTTGGGAGGCTGAGGCAGGAGGATCGTCTCTGTCCAGGAGTTTGAGACCAGCTTGGCAATGTAGAAGACCTCCCAACAACTCCCCTAAGAAAGCCCATTCCACAAACTCAGAAATATATACAAACTCTTTAAATATCTACATACATATAATATCTGGTATCAGGGTCAGTATAAATATCAAGGTCCACGGTGGGGCAGGAGGGGATGAGGAGGGTCCTCGAGGGGAGGTCAGCAGCAGGGACCCCTACCCAGCCCCTTGAGGTAAAGAAAGCAGCAGGGACCCAGCACCAGGGGTCTCAGTAGGGTTCAGTCTCTGTCCAGGTGCGCTGCACCCAGGTGGGGCGTTATTTGGACCTCAGTGCGGGCGGTCCGGCTGGGACTTCGGGGGTCACCCGGAAGAGTCCCAAGACAGTGGCACCCTGCGTAAGCTGCCAGGCATGATGTGTGCCGGCGTCAGTGTGCAGGCGGACGCCCAGGCGCTGGCCGGCACCCAGGTGCAGCAGGCAGCTCCGGAAACCGAAGGCCGAGTTCCGAGGCTCGGAGGAGGTGGGTGGCAGGTCCACGGTCAAAGCCAGGGCGGTGGCCCCAGGAGCAGGGCGCTGCGGCTTCAGGTGCAGCGCGAGTGAGACGGAGCCTGAGCCCTGGCCGGCCACCACACGCTGCAGCTCTAGTTGCAGGAAGACGTAGTAGACGCCAGCCGTGCCGACCACCAGCTCCTTCGTGTCCTCCTCGTAGCTCAGGCCCCGCGCCAGGGACACGCCTGCCAGGCCTGGGTCGCTGTACCAGCTCAGGGGCCCGTCGGTCAGCAGAACTGTGGGAGGAGGGGATGCACTTAGCTTAGCTGAGCATTGCTGAGAACGGAGCATGGGGGTGGGGGTGACGGTGACTGAGAGGACTGAGGTGGAGCGGGACTCTGAGATGGGGCTGGGGGAGGGAAAGACGGGATAGAACAGAGGAAGAGGATCCAAGGACAGCAGTCAGGAGAGGGCAGAATTCCAAAAGGTTGGATGGGGAAGGAGTAAAGGAGGTGCAGGGACAGACTGCCAGGAAGAGGGCGACAGGTTGAAAAGCAAAAGGCAGAGTGCCTCTGGCTGGAAGAAGCCTCAGGGAGGGGTGAGGGGACTCCTGGAGAGGACAGTGAGGGTGGAGGGAGCGGCAGATTCCAAAATGAAGGAAGGGGAGGAGAGAGGAGAGATGGAGGAGGCTGGGACGGAGAGGGGAGGCTGTTAAGAAAGGGGGAAGTTCTAGAGGAAGGATGGATCAGGGAATCAAGGGGACTCTGAGAGGGGTGGGCAGAGGACCTGGTGAGAGGACTTCGAAGAAAGGAAAAGGAAGGAGGAAGCGGTGGAGGAGGGTTAGGGAGGAGGAAATGCCTAGGAGAGGGGAGGGCGGGGAGGGGGCTCACGGCAGAGGGGCAGGGGTGGAAGGAGGGTCTTGGGTAGGGAAGAAAGAGGGAAAGGGGTCTGGAGGGGGAAGGGGAAAGAGGTCTCTAGATAGGGAAAGGAAGGGAGAAAGGTTCTGGAGTGGGAGGGAGTCTCTGGATGGGGAGGAAAGTCGGGAGGAGGGTCTTGGGAAAGGGGAGAAGATGGGGCTGGGGAGGGGATAGGAGGGTCTAGGGGAGAGGAGGACGATCTGGGGACGGGGAGAGAATGGGAGTAGGGAGGCAGCTCTGGGGGAGGGAGAGGTGGGGAGAAGAGGCTGGGGAGCTGGGAGCGGGCAGGAAATGGGGAAGGAAAGCTGTGGGGAGAAGGGTTTCCAAAAGAAGGAGGCCAGAGGCTCTAAACCAGGCTAGGGGTTGGGGGTGCCAAGCCCCAGTTCTGATAGGGCAGGGGTCCCAGGTGGGCCCAGATGGGGGTCTGATGTGGAGGCTGTGGCATCCGGAGAGTCAGAGAAAGTCAGAGAGGGATCCGTGGCGTTCAAAGACAGGAAGTGACAGCTTTCAGAGGGGGCAGGGTGGAGGGTCAGAGCAAGTGGGCAGCAGAACCTCAATCTCCAGGCGCTTCCCCCCAGGAGGGGCCAGGACAGGAGTGGGGCAGGACACTTACCATTTTGGGCCACCAGCTGTGCAAACATGCCCTGTTAAAAGTGGAAAGGAGGAAGGTGGATGGGGATTTCCCTAGAAAGTGGAGGGGTGCTGTCCCCCACTCACTTCAACCGTCAGGGTCCCCAGGGTCTGTGAAGACCTGGAATCGACACTTCCCTCCCAAATAAAGAATACTGAGAACGTACACAAACACACAAAAACACGCACACACGAACACAAACACACACGCGAAGCTGGTGGTTCAGCCTGCCCCAAGAACAGACCTCCAAAAATTCAGGAGGGAAAAGAGATCCCTCTTCTTCCCAGGCCACTTTCGGGGGTTCCCCTGGGGATCTTAAAAGGGAGAGGGGGATACCTCAAGGGTTGGGGAGAAAAATGAGTCTTTGGGCGTTAGCAAAGGAACTGGGAGTCTCCTTGGTGGTCCCAGATAAAGAGGAAGTGCCCCCCTCGAGTCAAGGATGGAAGAAACGTTCCCCCCAAGAAGGCGTTGAGGGTTGGAGAGCTGCGGAGGGTCACCCCGTCCAGCGTGCAGATAGGGTGTCCCCACCGAGTGCCTCATAGAGGACAGAAGCCCTCTTTCTCTGACCCGGGGAGCAGAAGATGTGTCCCCGGGGATTTAAGGACTGTGGGGTCTCCTCCTCCTGGCCTACAGTGCTGATAGGGTCTCTTGGGGATGCGAAATGAAGGGAGTGCCCTCCAGTGCATCACGGAGAAGGAGAGACCTTGGAGGTCCAAAAAGAACTTGTAGGATCTCCTCTCCCAGGCCCAGGGGTCTCGTAGGGGGCACAGGATGAAAGGGGTGCCCCCGGGCTAGAAAGAGAAGCGGACCCATAAGTCTGTTGGGGGGCCGGGCGCGGTGGCTCACGCCTATAATCCCAGCACTTTGGGAGGCTGAGGCGAGCGGATCACGAGGTCAATAGATCGAGATTATCCTGGCCGACATGGTGAAACCCCGTCTCTGCTAAAAATACTACAGTAGCCTGTAGTCCCAGCTACTTGGGAGACTGAGGCAGGAGACCCTGGAGGCAGAGGTTTTACGAGCCGAGATCGCGCCACTGCACTCCCTCCAGCCTGGCGACACAGCGAGACTCCGTCTCAGGGAAAAAAAATCCTGTTGGGGGGTCTCCTCACCGCCCCGGCCGGGGGTCTCCTAGGGGTGCGGGATGAAATGTATGCGCCTCGCTTCGGTGCTAGATGGAGGGTGGGAGCCGCCGTGAGTCTCCTCTCCCCGGTAGGGGGTGCGGGATGGAGAAGGGAGTCCCAGAGGGGCGGCGGGGACATCCCGGGAGATCCGCGACCGAGGGTCGGGGCGCGTCTCACCTGCCGCGGGTCCGGGAGGCGGGCGGGGTCACCTGGCGAAAGCTCGGGGCTGTCGCGGAGTCTCGGGCTGGGTACGGAGCTGGGTGAGGCGTGAGCCCCGGAGACGGCCCAGGGGCGGGCGACGCAGACGGCGCAGACGGCCGCGAGCAGCAGCAGCCCGGCGACCAGGACCCAAAGCAGCGGGCGGCAGGAGCGGGTGCGGGGCGCCGGAGGCCACGGAGCCTCGGGATCCAGCGCGGCACCAGGGGAGTGTCCCATGACTGGCGACGAGGGACTGCGAGCGGACTCCGGCGCCGCCGTTTTAAAGAGAAGCCAGCTGGAGAAACTGCCACGCCCACAGCCTGCCCTTGCCCAGAGCCTGCCCCTGCCCACAGCCTCTTTCTCCAGAGTCTGCGCCTGCCCGGAGCCTGCCCCCTCCAATCCGCGGAACTTTCTCCACCAGGATCTTTCTCCGCCTTTCGCTTTCTTTTCTGTTTCTGGCCTTCCAAGCTCGGCCCCAGGTTCCTCTCTCCCTGCTGTGTCTCCACCGAGCTGGTTCTCTCCGCTGCTTCCCGGTATCTTCGTGGATCTCTTGATGACTCAGTCTTTGCTCGGTGTGTCTCTCCCTGTCACTGTATCGCTCTGGCTCTCACTCTTTCTGTCTCTCCGCCTGTTTCTCTCTGCTTCTGATTCCCTGTCTCTCCCTGTCTCTCTCCTTGTTAGTCTCTTCTTCCCCTCCTCTCAGCACCCTGTAGCCCCCCACCACTGGGACTCCCCCAGGTTTCCCCCACATCCAGCACTTCCTAAGAAGAGTCAGAATTCAGCCAGGCCTCAACCACCCTCACTCCGGGAGCACCCGACCGCCCCCCCCCCCACCGGCCCCGCCCCAGTGGAACCCTGAATGTCATGCTCAGCCCTCCTGCCCACCTTCCCCAGGACCCCTGGGCCTTCCCTGGCCTGCCCCCACCCACCCACTGGACGCTTCCCAGCAGGAGTCCCGCGGGACCCCACAAGCAGAAGCTTGGAGAGTCCAGGTGGGAAAATTCCCCTGCAAGAAAGGGACAGTGTCAGGCGGGCGGCAAGTTGTCGGAAACTCACATTTCCCATCTGTGCTGGCCTGCTGAGAGGCAGCCAATCCAGGGCTGGGAGGATGGGCCAAGAAGCAGTGAAAACTTTGCTCCAAAAGAGGAAGCACTGCCAGATGGAGATGAACGTGACCCGGGGAAAGCCCTTGGCTGGTGTTGAAGTCCTGGTCTGCCCAGCCCAGTGTGGTTCCACACTGGGCAACTTCCTTCCTGTGTCCAGCCCCACGGGAGACGGGAGTGTAGATCAGGCCTTTCATCCCTCTTCCAGCAAGAGTCAGCCCATAAAATAAAGGGACTGGCTGGGCACGGTGGCTCATGCCTGTCATCCCGGCAATTTGGGAGTCCGAGGTGGGCGGATCATTAGGTCAGGTGTTTGAGACCAGCCCTGCCAACATGGTGAAACCCCATCTCTACTAAAAATACAAAAATTAGCCGGGCTTGGTAGGTGCCTGTAATCCCAGCTACTCAGGAGGCTGAGACAGGAGAATCACTTGAACCTGGGAGGCAGAGGTTGCAGTGAGCCAAGATCATGTTACTGCACTCCAGCCTGGGTGACAGAGCAAGACTCTATCTCAAAAATAAATAAATAAATAAATAAATAGTTTTGCACAGTGGCAGTATCGTAGCCAATGAGGTTTATCTGAGGCACGATTATTGTTAACTGAAAACTTTTCCCAATATCCCCTCATGACGACTTGAATATACTCGGCACTGGCAATTTTTGACAGTCTCTATGGAGACTGAATTATTATTATTATTATTTTTCTGAGATGGAGTTTCGCTCTTGTTACCCAGGCTGGAGTGCAATGGTGTGATCTCAGCTCACCGCAACCTCCACCTCCTGGGTTCAGGCAATTCTCCTGCCTCAGCCTCCTGAGTAGCTGGGATTACAGGCACGCGCCACCGTGCCCAGCTAATTTTTTGTATTTTTAGTAGAGACAGGGTTTCACCATGTTGACCAGGATGGTCTCGATCTCTTGACCTCGTGATCCACCCACCTCAGCCTCCCAAAGTGCCGGGATTACAGGTGTGAGCCACCATGCCTGGCCAAGACTGAATTATTATAAATAAGTAGGGCCAAGCACGGTGGCCCAAGATGCATCCAATCCCAGCACTGTGGGAGGCCAAGGCAGGCATATCATGAGGTAAGGAGATCGAGACCATCCTGGCCAAAGTGGTGAAACCCCATCTCTGCTAAAAGTACAATAAAATCGGCTGAGTGTGGTGGCATGCACCTGTAATCCCAGCTGCTCAGGAGGCTGAGGCAGGAGAATTCCTTGACCCTGGGAGGCAGAGGCTGCAGTGAGCCAAGATCAAGCCATTGCACTCCAGCCTGGGTGACAGAGTGAGACTATCTCAATAAATAAATAACTTTTGTTTTGTTTTCAGATACAAGGTCTTGCTCTGTTGCCCGGGCTGGAGCACAGTGGCATGATCATAGCTCACTGCAGCCTCCAATCCTGGGTTCAAGCCATCCTCCTGCCTTAGCCTCCTGAATAGCTGGAACTACAGGCACATACCACCATGCCTGCCAAATTGTTTTTCTTTTTTGCCTAGAACAGGGTCTCACTATATTACCCAGGCAGGTATCGGACTCTGGGGCTCAAGCTATCCTCCCATCTCTGCCTCCCTAAGAGTTGGAATTACAGGCTTGAGCCACCATGCCTGACCCCAGTTTTTCGGGGGTTTTTTGTTTTTGTTTTTGTTTTATAGAGACGGTCTTGCTATGCTGCTCAGCTGTGGTGGCTGGCATGAGTTACCATGCCCATTCATAAGGGAGATACGAGTATCTTGCGACATCAGCACAGTGTCTGTGTCTGATCCTGTATTGGGCCTCCCTCGGGGATTACAGAGAAAACAGTGATGATACCAGCAGTGTGGAAGGAACATTACCAAATGCTAAACGATTCCTATATATGGTTTGGGTTCTCCACGTGTGAGGCCCAACCCAGCAACAAGGTCACCATCTGTAGCCTATTAGCTATGCAAATTCTAGCACCCAGGCCTAAACCCCCGGAAACTCTCGGAGAGGGCGTCCTCCGGAAGATTGCAGTGGCCCCGCAAGTTTGAGAACGCCACTTGTGCCCACGTTTTCCTTTGCACCTGCTATTTAATCCTCAGCCCAGAATGTTCTTTGCCCAGACCTGCAACTGGAGACACCTTCTCACCATTCATGTCGCCCTTCGCACCGTCCCTTCCGGGTCACGATGACAAACTGAACCAGCCTCTGCTTTCACTGTCTCCTGAAACTTCACTGTAGTGACACTTAAGCAATTGTTCATAAACCAAAAAAAAAAAAGTACAAGCCAGCAGAGTGGAAAGGTGAGTTTTCTTAGAATTTCACCACCCCAAGACTTATTCATTGGTGAGTCCCCTCAACCATTAACAATGTGATGGGTGGCAGCTAAAACCCAGTTTGCCGTAGATATACTTGCAGAAGAAGGCCAGGCAAGGTGGCTTATGCCTGTAATCCCAGCACTTTGGGAGGCCGAGGCAGGCAGATCACCTGAGGTCAGGAGTTTGAGACCAGCCTGGCCAACACGGTGAAACCCCGTCTCTACTAAAAATACAAAATTTTGCCAGATGTGATGGCAGGCGCCTGTAATCCCAGCTACTCAGGAGACTGAGGCAAGAGAATCACTTGAACCCAGAAGGCAGAGGTTGCAGTGAGCCAAGATCGTGCCACTGCACTCCAGCATGGGTGACAAAGACTCCACCACCCCTCAAAAAATGCGGAAGAGACGTCTACTTCTCTCCACTCTCCATAAGAGAGAATCAGAGAAGCAATTTTTTGTTATAAAATAGGATCTCAGCCCAGCACAGTGGTTCACACCTGTAATCCCAGCACTTTGGGAGGCTGAGGCGGGTGGATCACTTAAGATCAGGAGTTCAAAACCAGCCTGGCCAACATGGTAAAACCCAGTCTCTACTAAAAAAATCTACAAGGCCAGGCGATGTGGCTCATGCCTATAATCCCAGCACTTTGAGAAGCTAAGGGAGGCAGATCACCTGAGCTCAGGAGTTCAAGACCAGCCTGACCAACATGAAGAAACCCTGTCTCTAATAAAAATACAAAATTAGCTGGGCTTGATAGCACATGCCTGTAATCCCAGCTACTCAGGAGGCTGAGGCAGGAGAATCACCTGAACCCGGGAGGTGGAGGTTACAGTGAGCCAAGATCACGCCATTGCATTCCAGCTTGGGCAACAGGGTGAAACTCCATATAAAAAAAAAAAAAAATTGCTGGGGGCGGTGGTGCATATTTGTAGTTCTAGTTACTTGGGAAGCTGAGGCGGGAGAATCGCTTGAACCTGGGAGGTGGAGGTCACAGTGAGATGAGATCGCACCATTGCACTCCAGCCTGGGTGACAGAATGAGACTCCATCTCAAAAAAAAAAAAAAGTGATGGATGCAGCAAACCACCACCATGGCACGTGTATACCTATGCAGCAAACCACCACCATGGCACGTGTATACCTATGCAGCAAACCACCACCATGGCACGTGTATACCTATGCAACAAAGCTGCACGTTCTGCACTTGTACCCCAGAACTTACAGTATAATAATAAATAAAAATAGGGTCTCACTCTGCTGCCCAGGCTGGAGTGCAGGGGTATCATCATGACTCACTGCAGCCTCCAACTGCTGGGCTCCAGATCCTCCCACCTCAGACTCCCAAAGTGCTGGGACTACAAGTATGAGCCATCTCACCTGGCCCTTTCTAAATAATTTTTATTTTTTTGAGACAGGGTTTCACACTGTCACCCAAGCTGGAGTGCAGTGGGTAATCACAGCCCACAGCAACCTCAACCGCTGGGCTGAAGCAATCCTCCCACCTCAGCCTCCCGAGTAGCTAGGACTATAGACAGGCACCACCATGCTCAGCTAATTTAGTATTATTTGAAGAGACGGGGTTTCACCGTGTTACTCAGTCCACCTCCTTGGTTCAAATGATTCACTCATTCAGCCTCCCAAAGTGCTGGGATTATAGACATGAGCTACCTTGACAGGCTGCTGGACCACCAAGCCCATTTTTAATTTTAATTTTTATTTTATTTTTCCTAAGGGAATGAACACAGGATATTTTATTTTATATTTTCATTGAGATAGAGTCTCTCCATGTTGCCCAGGCTGGTCTCTAACTCCTGGGCTGAATGGATCCTCTTGCCCCGGCCTCCCAAAATGCTGGGATTACAGGTGTGAGCCACCAAGTCCAGCCTTTTATTATTTTTTTTTTTCTTAAGAGAAAGGAAAATGGGCCAGGCACAATGGCTCATGCCTGTAATCCCAGCACTTTGGGAGGCTGAGGTGAGTGAATTACCTGAGGTCAGGAGTTCAAGACCAGCCTGGCCAACCTAGTGAAACCCCGTCTCTACTAAATATACAAAAAAAAATTAGCCAAGAGTGGTGAGCACCTGTAATACCAGCTACTCGGGAGGCTGAGGCAGGAGAATCGCTTGAACTCAGGAGGCAGAGGTAGCAGAGAGCCAAGATCACGTCACTGCACTCCAACCCAGGTGACAGGGCAAAACTCTGTCAAAAAAAAAAAAAAAAAAATGGGCCAGGCACAATAGTGGCTCACACCTGTAATCCCAGCACTTTGGAAGGTGAGTGAATCACCTGTGGTCAGGAGTTCGAGACCAGCCTGGCCAACATGGAGAAACCCTGTCTCTACTAAAAATACAAAAATAAAAATTAGCCAGCCATGATGAGCGCCTATAATCCCAGCCACTCAGGAGGCTG